AAAGAACCCATTTTACATAACATTAAGCAGTTAATGGGCGTAGATTTGATTTCAACTTTGTTAGGGACACTATTGTCTTCAGTTTCATTGCTCTGATGTCATTGGTCCTTTGCAAAAACATGCATGCTCTTTTTTATGCTTAATGTGAGCATCAGCACACATTTTGTTTAAAGAGAACCGCAGCATTTCTTGCTACATTAATACAAATCTTATAAGCACTGCACACACTAGATGCAGTTTATCAATGTTTAATGCATCACTGACTCTGACAAATGTGGAATTAGGACCTTTTTCCACTTTAAAAAGGTTTGCATTTAAACTTACCAGCAACTAAGACAGTGCCTATTTAACCAAATATAGTCTAAATTTGTGGATTTATCCTGTGTTTTCTTTTGAAGATATAGAAATCTGCAGAGGTAAACCCCACTCTTATTTATTTTTTTTATCTAAATGCTCTGTATCATGCAAAATAATACATTCAATGGAAGGTAAATAAATGTATTTTATTTACATATGCACTGGAACTATAACAGGCACTGACACTGAGCATTTAAAATATTAACTTCACTATACAAATTGTAAATCTGGGCTGTAGTTACTCTGTGTCGCCCATTTCATGTATTTTATCTAGGGCTGAAACAACCATAATAATGGAATATTTATAAAATCTTCAACTAATTTAGTAATTGATAAATCATTAACTGGAGTATAGGGCCACTAAAATGTGCCTTTAGCCGACAGAGCGACCCACTTAGAGCAGGAATTATACCAAGATTGTAAAAAAGATATAAACATCTTGCATTTGAGATTTCATAAAAAGTGTTTGTCTTTCAATATTCTCCATCCAGAACTCCTCAAGAGGAAAAGTTTCTGATTCACCTGGTTTCATTTCCAGTCGCCATTATGATTAGAGCCCATATACCAATAACAGAGTATTAGGGCCAGGCTAGAGATTTTAATTTAATTTTTTTTTTCTAGAATAAATTCGTATTATTACGAAAATAAAATCTTTGCATGACGTGAATAAAGTCATAAAATGAATAGAATAAAGTGGCAACATTACGGGAATAGAGTGTTAATATTATGAGAATAGAGTTGAAAAATAACTAGAATGAAGCCATCATACCACCCAGCATGTGATTTTAGACAGATTTATTTTGTCATTTCGTTAACACAAGTGTAAAACAAAAAGAAATTTCATTAAGAACAGCTCTCTAGACAATTATTTTTTTTTATTGCAGCCTTGAGAACAGTAAAAAATACATAAAAACAGTAATATTAACTCTTGGCTCTGGCGTCAAGCGCCCCTCGCCCAAGGGGCGCAACCCGCTCCAGGGACAGTGGCAGGTGGGGAGTTTGACTGGGGCGAGTCACCTGTCAAATGGTAACGTAGGTGTCCTAAGGCGAGCTCAGGGAGGACAGAAACCTCCCGTGGAGCGGAAGGACAAAAGCTCGTTTGATCTTGATCTATTGAAATTCAGCCCTCGATCCAATTTTGTAAAAAACGACAAAGTCCAGAGCTCCAGGCCGACAGGGGGCCTGGGGCGGTCGGCAAGGCCGGGCAGAGCTTCCCCCGGGCTGGCCAGGGACGGTTCGGCGAGCCACTAGGCTCATGGAGCTTTCCTATAGGAAAAAAAACGACAAAGTCCAGAGCTCCAGGCCGACAGGGGTCCTGGGGCGGTCAGTCAGGCCGGGCAGAGCCTCTCCTGGACCGGCCATGGACGGTTACAGGGGCCCTAGGGCTCACGTATCCGTCCAGATGTCAGAAATTTATCAAAGTACCACCGCTGTACCAGGGGTCCGAATGTCCTGCTGCCATACTAGGGACCCAAACAGTCTGTGCGTTCTACTTCGTTTAGTATGTTGGGGGGGTGCTTAAGGGTGAGTCCCCATGCCTGACTGCAGCTGGATGTTCCCCAGGGAGGTGTGTTGGTGGTTTGTGGCCGGTCTGAGGGTGGATTTCTGGGGGTTATTGTGGGCCAGCTCTGTCCTATCTCCTCGAGGAACCGGTGGTGGTTTTGGATGGGGCGCCTATCCAAGGAGGAGGCCCCTTGGGCGGATAGGAGGTGCATGGGAGAGACCCCCTGGAACCATCTCTAGGAAGCTTCAGGGTGGGCCTTTGGCAGGCGGCCTCAGCAGTATTTCAAGGTAATAATTTAATATGTCTGTTCTTTGCTTTTGTACATAACAAACCACTAATTGTCTAAAATTACTTAATTCAGAATTGTTTGGGTTATCCATAAGTACTGAACTTTGCTGAATCGAGCCACAAAACTACTGTAAATAGCAGTTTCAGCTGCCGCTCTTATAAGTGGCGTAGTAGCACAGGCACACTCAGTAGGGTTAAACAAGCGCACCCTTTCCGAGGCTGTCATTCTATTGGCTGGAAAGGTTGCTAGGCGACGATCCAACTGCAATCCGAGAGAGAGCAAAAAAAATCCGTAAGCAGAGCCTACGGGTATGCGAGTGTATCTGAGACTCGAGCAGAGCGCGGTTTGTGCGCGAAGAGAAGGAGGCAAGCGAGAGGAGAAAATATCTGTGCAAGAAGCATTAAATCTGAGAGAAGAAACAAAGATTTGAGAGAGAAGAGAAAATATTTGAGAGAGAGCGCATGTTTTGAGTGTGAGCATTATAAGTTTTGAGTGCAAGAAGATGAAATTCTTTTCTCAAATTGAAATTATGTGCTCTTCCATCATGGCAGGATAATTCTCCCATAGTCAGAGCAAATGTGAGTTTCTAATCCACATTCTGATGTTAAATATAGTGTTATAGAATTACTTCATTGGCACTTTTAGATTGAAATATAGATCTATATGAATATTGTTGTACAATATGAAAAAAACATGAGAGATGAGGAAAGATCTCTGAATTGTAGCTTAAGTTTTATGGATATTGGCATCCTATATTTTAAGATGCTTTATTTTGGCCTTGTTCCAGGTCAGGTTTTTTTTTTCCCTCCCGTTTTGGTGCACTTTTGGTCTGTAGTGCTCAGACACCCCAAGATCCTCCTCTTCAGAACTTGGATGGCGAGCCCCAGCCCAGAGGACTGAGTGAACTGATTGACCGGTCGCTAGCCGTGAGGCACTGAGTGAACATTGGACAGAAACATTGAAACGACTGGATTATTTCTGTTATTTTTATTTTTTTTAAAGCACGCGATTTTGTTTATTTGTAAATGTGGATTCACAATTGTTCACTATATTAAATTCTACCCTTTCTTATAGACATTGTGTGCTCTCCTCTGTTGTTGCTTACACCTAGGCTCCCGTGAATTTAAAATCTTCTGATCAGGCCCCACTTTCTTTATACTTGTGTAGTGTTGGTATCAGTCATGGAAGTGATTAACATACTTACCATCTACTATAATCAGGTGTAATTGGAGCGACCCTTCTTGTGGGTTACACAGTAAACCTGTTTATTGCATTTAATCTATATGTTTCCGTCACAACTTTAAGTTTTCAACATAATTAATTTGATTTAGTCTGAGATTAAATTTGTTGTTTATTGAACGTACAATAAATCAAATGATTCCTTAATTTCACTGTTTTTAAGTGAATGGGTGGTCCTTTACTTTTATCACCTGATAAAAGTCTGGCATTAATGCAGCAAGATAACGCAGATAACGGACCACCACTAGTTTCTTGTTGTTATCAATCACTTTGGAGTTTGATTTTTATCTGTTTATTATATGTCGGAATAATTTTACCTGATTATAATCTGTTGCTAAATTTGTAGACCACCTTGCTCCCCTTAAAACACACACACGACTCTCCACCAAACCCCAACACACACACGACTTATTACTTATTTACTTTTGCATCAGGAGGAATAAGTAAGAAAAAAAAGAAAAAAAGGAGAAAAATAAGAAAACAGATTATCCAAATTCATGGCTGGTTAACACCATTTCAAAAACATTTAAATGGATTCTGATTGAATCTGCCTTCAGGACCTTCTGACTTTTTTCCTTATTTTTTATAATGAGGCAGAAATGCATACAGGAAGTAATAACGACAGGCAGAAATAAAAAGCATTGAAGAAATGAATAGGGTAAAAAATACAAAGGAAGAGAAAACAGACAAAAATATAACATGCACATAAATAAATACTTAAAAAAAAAAGGTATTAATAAATAAAGTTGAAGATTATAACGGACAATGAATAAATAAGGTTATTATTACAAATAAAGAAGCTAATTAAAAGAGATATATAAATTTATGTCTCACTGTATAATTAAATTTTTACCTACATTTATTTGTTTATTTTAATTTTTGGAGCAATTAATTGTACGCTTATTTATTTATTGAGCATTTCTTTTTTTCTTCTTTAAATATGGTAGAGCTGATCCTCCATAGGTTAACACCATTTCAAAAACATATGGATCCTGATTGAATCTGCCGTCAGCAAACTTGTCCAGGACCTTCTGACTTTTTTCAGTCCTCAACTTCTAAAGTAAGTCACAGTTTTAGCAAAAATCCCAAACTCAATGATTTTGTTTTTCTTGTTTTTCTTTTTCTTCTTTCCAGCAAAGGTGAAACAAAATCAGTTTCCATTTTCTTAAAATTAAACATCAGTCTGATGTATACTTACCTTTCATCATGTAAATAAGATACGCTGTTTTATCTTTATACATAAAACAACTATGCCTCATGCAAACAGGTTTTTTGTTTTTAAGATCAATTTCAATTCAAAGCTTTTCCAGCTCTGTAGTTTGACCTTATGAATATCTAAACATGTGTAGTTTAACTATTTACCGTATTTTCACGACTATAAGGTGCATATTAACGTCTTTTTTTTCCCTCAAAATGTGCGGCGCGCCCTATAGTGCGGTGCACCCTATGTGTGTTGTTACTGTGGACGTTGTTGAGACCACCATGAGAACGTTAAACGGGGAAGTGTGGGCGTGGATTGTGTATAAAAGAACAGGTATGTGCTTTATGCAGAACACCTAAATTAACTTCAAGTTTCCTGAAGGGAACAAAGGAGAGCAAGGTAAGAGTAGAGAAACCAGGGAAAACAATGCAAGAAGTCAAGAGGGCCACAAGTACCACTTAAGATTAATATTCTGGCATTGAAGTGCTGGCAGCCAACTCCTAGTAGTCTTGACCTGATGAGAAACAGGTGCAGGCAATCAGCAGAGCAGCCCAACCGACCATGCTCCCAGATGACCTCTGGAGGATGGACTTGAAAACTGCAAAAAATAGAGGAGGAATCAGGACCAAGAACCAGACCCCAACACAAATATGAGGCTGAAGAACCCCAAAGGGCTCTACAGTGCATTATGTTATGGTGCAAAAGGTTGAAATTATGTTGTCAAAATTTGCACTCTTACTCGTCGTCTTTGACTCCATTCAGGAAGCGCTTCTCGGGGGCAGAGGTCTCAGCTAAGAGTCCCAGACTTCCGTCTCCATGGACACCTCCTCCAGCTCTGCTACCAACGGAGAGGCAAACTCCCTACAACATGTCCGGGTCGTCCGCTGGACTTCCTGTTTAGGAAAAGTAAGTTGTAATTGTTACTACTTACTTTTTCCAAGCAATGTGGTCAACACCACTCACAAGGTAGTGAGGCTACTTACCCATAGCTGGGACAGTGGTTGACGAGTGCCAAGAAATGTCCACATATTGTGGGGTATTGCACTTCGTCTCTGGGGCCCACTGTTGCTCCGAGATCCCCCGCAGTTTGGCCTGGATCAATAAAGTACCCAGTTTCCGTGTGTGGCCACGTGGAGGCACTGCAGGGGTCTTTGTGGTGGAGAGGCTATGTACTGGCAGGAGAAGAACCAGACACGTGGTTCTTTTCACCCTACATGTAGGGACAAGCCAGCTGCAGTAGCTGAATTCCAAGCACACAGCTGAATCTCAGAACTACTGCAAGAGACGCTTCCACACAAACTTATGTGCATTCGCATGCACACAAACACACACTTTTTTTTTTTTTTTTTGCTTTATTGTATTTTTTTGTTGTTTTTTGGGTTTTTTTTGTACTTTTTTTTGTCTTTTTTTGATGATTTTTAGGAAGATTTGTTTTCATTTCTGGCCTGGGCACATTTTTCTAGTTGTTATTCTGAGAAGTGTTGCTTTTCTTCCATTTTTCTGGTTTCTTGAGACCCAGACCGTGTCGTATCTTTTTCCAGACTGATGGGTCATTTTTTGAGCAACTTGCTTCTGTTGGTTCAGCATCTGGACTTTCCTGTTGCTCTGGCAGGGTTTCCACAGAGCAGCCAGTCTTTTTCTTTGATTCAGAATTGAGAATATCATAATCTCTCAGCATCTCCTGTATGAACTCATCTACCTCCATGGTGGACACATTAGTAATAATAACGTCCTCTGACAGGGTCTCAAGATCCATGGATGCAGGGTCTGAAATGGTCTTCACAGGGATGGAGTCTTCTTTCTGTCTCGGTTCCTGACGCCTGGCCTTTTTGCGTTTTGGACGACCAAGGTCTTCTTTGTCATGGAGCTCAGCTTTCAGGTGTTCCAGCTCTGTTTTATAACTAACCTCACACTCAGAGTACTGTTGTTGAAGGTTAATGAGTTGTTTTTGGAGAGCGTCCTTCTTGGCCCCAAGTTCACAGTAGCTCCTCATTTTTTCAGAATGAGCTTTTGTTTCTTTATCAAGCTCCTGCTGAAATGCGTCTTTCTGCTGTGTTAGAGCAAAAACGTCTGTTTCGTACCTGGTTTTCAATTCCTGGTACAAGACCTTAACCTTCGCCAGTTCACTTTGAAGATTTTCCATCATCTCTGTAGATATTTGTTTCAGGAATCCAAACTCGTGAGCCATGGGTTCCTTCTGCGCTATTTCATTGATGAGCTGGCGGTCAAACTTTGCTCTCTTCTCATTAGCATTTTTCTCACAGACCATGTCATGCTGATAGGTTTCTACTTTTTGCATGAGTAAAGAAATGTCTGTGTTATATTTTGAACTTAGTTCTTGGTATGAAACCTTCATCTGCTCCATCTGAGTCTGCAGGACTGCATTCTCAGCTCTCAGGCTCTCGATGATCTTTTGGTCTTGCTTCATTTTGTCTTCATAACGTATCTGTAAGTTGACCTGCTGGTTTGCTCCAGCGTTCTCAGTTTCCTCTTTAGAGCGAAGCTCCTCGTAACTATTATTGATTTTCTCTAGTTCTTGTTGGAGGGCAGCATTTTTCTCTTTTTCAGTTTGGATTTGTGATATAAATGCTTCCTCCTGGACAATATGAGCAACCTTTAAATGCTCAAAGTCTACCTGCAGCATCTTTTTCTTTTTGTACTTCATGTCATTGTTCACCTTAGATGCGATAGTGGCAGGGCTGAGAGTTTCTGGATCTGTAAACTTTTGAATTCTCATCAGTTCTCGCTTGGTTTCTTTGCCCTTATTAATGAACATCTCTTTGAGATTTTTCTGCCGTTTTAACTCACTTTTTGCTTTTTCAAGCTCTTCCTCAAGGGTGGATACCTTTTGGTTTTCCTCCAACCATTTAGATTTCTCCATTTCCAAAAGAGAGTTGAGCCTTTTGATTTCATCCTGGACAGGATTATCAGGCTGCCTGTTGTTAATGCAGCTTCTCTGATTTCGCCGAGTTTCCAAACTATACGGCTGATATCTGCTCCCAACGTTGTGGTAATGTTGCCTTTGATGTGGCATTTTAACACAAATAAACGGTTGTTAAAGTTTGTGTTAATCTGTAAAAAGTTTGAAATCTCGACTAGAAGGGCGCTATGCGTACGTCTGAACTCGTCAGCAAGCAATAGTGCAATAATGAATTCTGATCTGATGACATCAGGGTTCTAAAGCAATGACATCACAGAATTATGGGATGTCCCTTAGAATGCTGACATAGGCCACGCCCACACACACACACACACACACACACACACACACAGACACCTGGGTATTAAGTATTTTACCTTTACCAAAGATCTTCAGTAAAAGTTCAGGCTTAACTTTAGTTAAAACTCGTCTTTTTTTGTAGCAGATAACATTGTTTTTCAGACGATATTTAAAACCCAATGAATATTATCTCAGAGCCACAATATCAGTTGCAACTTTCAGTAAATGTAAGATGTTTTCATCTCATCTCATCTCTTTCAGCTGAGGTCCTGCTGAATTCTGATTGAACACACCTGGGTCAGCTTAGACCTGCTTAGTAGCATAAGTGTATAAAAGCAGCCGAAAGGCTTTTTATAGATACAGTGTGTGTTTTTTTTTTCTTTTGAAGTTGGTTTAACGCACTTGTTCCAGAATGGGTAAAGTAGTTAATTTTATACCACATTCTCCAAAAACCCTCATGTATTTCTGAATATTAAAGTTTAAGTAATGGGTGATGTGAACATTTTATGTTGATATTTTATACTTTGATTCAATGCTTAATCTAGTCTATCTTTTGACAGCAAAGAAAGTGCTGATCGTGTTTGCTCACCAGAGCTCTGGATCATTCAATGCTGCAGCTAAAAATGCTGCTGCAGAGGTCCTGACTGCTCAGGGCTGCACAGTGGAAGTCTCTGACCTGTATGCCATGAGTTTTAAAGCCACTGCTACAGCTGAAGACATCAAAGGTATGACTGGAAATTGTCTGATCAGATATGTCAATTACCTAATATTTAAAAATTCCTGAGCAGGGGATGTGAAGAATGCTGAGATCTTCTGTTATCTGGAAGAGTCTAAACTTGCATGGGAGCAGGGAAAACTGTCAGATGACATCACAAAGGAGCAAACTAAGCTCACTGAGGCAGACCTCATCATTTTTCAGGTACTTCTGGATATCTGTAATATGGTGATAAATGCTCCATGTTGTATTAACTGTATTCTTTCCTTCAGTTCCCCATGTACTGGTTCAGTGTTCCTGCCATCCTGAAAGGCTGGATTGACCGTGTTTTCACCAATGGCTTTGCCTTCTCTAAAGAGAAGCGCTACAGCCAGGGAATCTTCAAGGTGAGACTTTAATAAGGAAGGTTTTGGTGGCTATAATCTTGTTTAACCTGTTCCTGCTTTTAGGACAAGAAAGCCATGCTGTCCTTCACCACTGGATCTCTAGAATCCATGTTCAGCCCAACTGGTATTAATGGAGACATGAATGTTACACTGTGGCCACTGCAGGTAATGTTGTCTGTTTTGGCTACTGTAACCACACAACATGGACACATACAAGCAATGGAATTTCTCTCTGCAGAATGGGATCCTGCACTACTGTGGCTTCCAGGTTCTGGCCCCTCAGATCTTCTGGGCTCCTTCTTCTGCTGCAGCTGAAGATCGCAAGAGCATGCTGGATAGCTGGCGCACACGACTGCAAGGACTTCTGGAGGAAAAGCCTCTGTCCTTCATTCCCTTGGATTGCTTTGATGAGAAGGCTTTCCAGTTGAAGCCTGATGTCCATGAGAAGCATTCCAGCCAGGAGTTTGGGCTGACTGTGGGCATCCACCTGAACAAACCACTGCCTCCTCACAGCCAGATGAAAGCTGGGTGCTGATGAAGTTTCATTTTCCAATGTAGCTGCTTTAATTATTTGCTGAAATAAATTACTAATAACTAATCATCCTGTGTGTAAATCGACTGTCTAAAATAATTTTTGTAGCTGCCATGTCTAAAATGGCTAGAGTAGACCATTTGCCCATCTTGAGATGTTTCAATTTCTTGACCCATTGATTATGTTTATGAGCATGTAATTTGTACTTTTTTTTTTTTTTTTTTTTGTGGACAAATTCGGGAATACGTTTCTTTATGACCCAAACCAGCCGTAACCCTCCAGTTTGTGCTTTCCTGCCTTCGATCTCTACTTATTCACTGGAAAGCAAAGAGTGGAAAAACTGAAGTTGCTTGCAGTCGGCTTGGTACATTCACGGAGGCGTGCCAAAAATATTCCGACGTGTCATTGGCTGCAACAAGCAATTTTATGCTGTGAATATAATTCACAGCGTGTGTGTGTGTAGCAAAATGAGTATTGGAACACCCATCAGGTACAATTCTGACCTTTGAGAGCTGATAGTTGGCTTCCAAAATTTCCACCTCAACTCTATTACCCTATATTGGATACCGAAGTACAGTATTATGCTCCATTAACAGACTTATTTCATTGTGATGGATTTGTATAATTGTAAATAGACTTGTATTGAATATGCAATGAGATGTGCCTATTTTCTACTAGAAATTGTAATCTACGATTCTATGAAACAGCAAATGTGTATCGAAGTGATAAATTTATCTTTTAGAATTCGAAAGCCCCCTGAAAATTAGAAAATCATCGTTCGATACTGTAGTGCACGTATTGCACAGCCTATGACGACAGTGGGCTGCTGTGACAGCAAATCCCTTATTTTATCCCATTTTTAAATTAAAATTCTCATTTTAGGATCAAGCTTAAAACACAAAAATAAACAAAATCAAAGCATAGATTTCTTGCAGCAAGAAGGTTCCGGGTTCGATTCCCAGCCTGGGGTCTTTATGCATGGAGTTTGCATGTTCTCCCTGAGGAGGCGTGGGTTCTCTCCGGGTACTCTGGCATCCTCCCACAGTCCAAAAACATGACTGTTAGGTTAACTGGCTTCTCTAGGTCCTCTTTAGGTGTGAGTGTGAATGGTTTGTCCTGTTCGTCTCTGTGTTGCCCTGCGATTGTCTGGAGACCTGTCCAGGGTTGACACCGCCTCTCACCCATAGACAGTTGGAGATGGACACCAGCACCACTCACCACCGCAGCTGTGATAACTGTGACAGAAATTACTGGATGGAAATATATACCCATTGACTTTCCATACTGCTGCGGTCATAACAATGCTTTTTATAACACTGCATGAAAAGTGAGATTTTCGTCCCCGTAAACTCCCGCAGATCTCCCTGATTTTCGTCAGTTTCCGACAATTTGCAACCCGTGCTTGTCCGCATTTGTCAGTGCCACAAATTGTCGC